TATGTTTTCGTGTTATAATTTGTTGTTCTTCTAGAATGAAAGAGGCATAATTTATATTTATTTCCTAATTTTTTACAGAGATTCATTACTGAAAATAACAGATTAAATAAAAAGTTTTTTTCTAGAAACAATTGATAACTATCTGGACATTATAAAGATTTTGCAGAAATTTGAAATTTTTCTGATGCATAAAAGTATTTTTTAATCTTAAAATGAAAATTACTTTATGTTGGATAGTCAACATACGAAAAGAAAAAAAAAGGCATGAGAAAAACATTGCTTTACAAGCCTTAAAACGTAATAAAAAAATTTTATATATTGTGTACGAACGTATTGTAATGTTTACTGATAATCTGCCAAATTTCATTAACATAAGCTTACTAATTTAAAAGTTATAGCATGAAAACTATAACAAGCACGAAATGATTACAAGGTTGGTCCGAGGGACCAAGCCCATGCTGAAAGAGTTAAGGACAGAATCAGGATGATACAATTATGTTACGTTAAAAGTAGAAATGAAAGGTTCCCATGCATAAGTAACTTCTAGTTAGTTATGACTTATTTTGTAACTTATTTTAACAGAGAATTATATAAGTACAGATTTTGCTACTGATGCCAGTAGAAAGCTGTTTAGGTACAGGTTTTTACAATGTTGAATTGAAGCATGTTCTATTAGTTTTACTGTTGTTTGATAATAGTTTTACAAGTTTTGTTTTTGACATCATTTAACTTTAAATATCAGTTGTTTCATCTAATATAGTAGAAATAGAAGTATCACTTGTTGTTCAGATAAATGATTTTTTGCAGTAGGACAAGATTACATATTTAGCTGTTCAGTAAAAAGTGGCAGTATTACTCAAGAGACATGCTTTATAAATTCTGGAACATTTAATTAATTTTGAAATGTAATTTTTTTATTTACTAGTTGATTGCCCATCGTATGATGGTAAATGCTGATTCATTTTTTCTTCTGAAAATTAAATCGAAATAAATGTTTTATGAACATATTTTCTAAAATTTAATTATTACAGTAACTATATATATATATAATGTTTATCCTTTTTCTAGTATTTCATTAGAATTTTAACTTGTGTATATTCTTATGTTATAAGACAAATTTTTTTACTTAATTTTGTGAAAAATATTCATAATAATGTATTGTAGCTTCATCTCTTGGGTTAAAAAGATATCTAAGTTATTTTTGACACTACAGTCACTTGTATTTATTACATAATGTGATATTATCCCTGATTTATTTCATAATTGTTTTTGCATTTCTCCAAATCAAAGAGCTTGTTGTATATATGGTAATAAATATAATAATTACATTTTAAAAAAAAATCTAACTTTACTAGGATTTGAACCTAAGACTTCCACAGGATAGTCAGTGTCTATAACCGCTATGACACCCAGTCTTTATGATCACATGTTAACAAATTGTACAAATACCTAATGTAAATTATAATTAATAGTTAATAATTAAAAAATATATAAAAAATCCCCACTCAACTGGTATTTGAACATGACACTTCAGACAAACCACTGAGCCACTTTGAACATTACCAACAGAGAGTGGCTTTTATTATACAGATTGCTTTTTTTGCAATGGTTATTAATTTTGTAAGTTTGTTTTTGTGATTACATTTGTGTAATTTCATATGTAATCCAGTGCATTTGTCTATTTCCAGAGCTAGTCCTGAACTATATACTGTCCTGTCTACAGCATAAGCCCTTGGCAAGGATGGCTGCATCTGCACTGCAAAACATATGTTCTTCTTGTAGAACAAAAATGGCATCTCATTTTAATGGACTCCTGCAGATCATCCAGGCTATAGACAGCTTTTCTATCTCAAATGAAGCTGCAGTTGACCTGCTGAAAGGTGCAGCCCTGATTTTGTGTCAGTTGCCAGATGAACAAGTTACAGATGGCCTTAGAGTACTGTGTCAGTGCCAGCTTTCACATCTTTCAAAGGTAAAATTATTACATTATTCTATGGTTTTAAAAATTATATCTTCAAGAAATACAAATATTTTTGTTATTCCAACAAAAATGTAGATCAGATTTCTGCAGTTGTAAGGAAACTAATAGTACAAAAATGTTTGCAGAATATTATATTGTTTAATTTCATATTATTCCAGAAAATAGTAGTAGTTTTAGAGCTATTCATTTAAGAAATCAGATTATTAAAAATGAACAGGATTTGTTTAAACTATTATAATCTTCAAATACCTATAAAGAGTTTAAGTTATTCAGCAAATATACACCTGGAAAAAAGTTAAGCACCCCCAAATATTTTTCAGGATTGCTTATTGAAAATAAGGTTTAATTTTCATGATGTTGAGCAATGTTCGTAATTTCAAACATAATTAAAAGGATGTGAGCATTCAGGTGTGACATTTAAATCAGGCACGTTTTTTCCCCACGTGCAACTTGCTCCCTTCTTCACGTCCAATATGCACTATTTTCTCGTGCATCAAATCCGTATTTAAGTCCC